GCTTATTATTCTGTCTTGAGTGCTTTTCCATATTGCTATGGAATACACGTTTATATTTATAGTTCCATTGAATACCTTAAGTCAACATTTCTCTAGCTTGACATCTAATCCACTTTTTTGTTTTCTTTTGGTCATGCAAAGAAAATAAAATCGGCTTTCAAAAGCATAGGATTATGTGGGGTGGGACTCTTCTGGTCTCAGACTACCGTATCTGGCATAATTCAGAAAACTAGACTACGAGCATGAGCAAATAGTCCACTGAAGATGAAATAGAGGTCGTAAAAACGCTGTGAAACAAATGGTCAGGTACAGTATTAGAGAAAATGCTTATTTCGAATGAAATAATAGTTTGACTCTCATATTACCAAGATTAAGAAGAATGTTACGACTGATGGCGGTAAAACAATAGGGAAACAGGCGTGTGTGCTACTAGAGGGAGTGTAAGTTGGGTGATGGGGTCTGTAAGATAGTTTGGTGGCAAACATCAAAAGCCTTAAGAATAAAAATACCTTTAGCCTACAATGTCACCAAATGTAACTGAAGAAAATTATTTGTAGGCAAGAGAGTGAGGATGTCTGTTTTAGTGGTGGTTATAAATCAGATAAGAAACTAAAATAAGCCAAGAACGGGGTGATGAAATAATTCAAAACATGATCCAGTACGCCCTTGTGAAGCAGTTCTAAGAGAACCCAGTTACAGACTAAGTGCTCGGCCTGCAAACCCCCTGGCTGTTCCAAGAAGAACGATGGATGTGGCAGCCTGCTTCTGCAAAGCTCGCCGCTCCTGAAACCCTGCCAGGCAGCTCTTCTTGGACCTTCAGGGTCACTTTGAATCAGAATCAACTCAAGAGCAGCAGGCGTAGTTTAGTGCAGACATGGCTTATCCTCCGCACGGCCATCCAGAAAGGTGAATGTTAATGTGCACAGCTATCCACTGTACACTGTTGGGTAGAAAAGAAACCACAGGGCGGTGCAATGGTCAATTACACCATTCTTATTTAAATATATACACATCTCTGTCAGTCTAGAAGATTAGACACTGACCTGTTAGCAGAAGCCATAGAATTCAGGGAGCTCTTTTCTTTCACACATTTTTATATGGAACATTTATGCTATAATAATGTAGTTCTTAGTAGACAGTGTTTTATAGTTGAGTTTTAAGACATAAGTAGGATATTGCTGGTATAAATCAAATTGAATACAAAAATGATGGTTATATCCACAACGTGCCAAGTGATTTGGGTCACATAGATTCCGTTCCTTGGAGTAATACTTACTAGGTCAAAATTATGTGCTTTGAAGGAAATGCAGTTCACTGGTCTTTCAGTTTTCCCCCAATCCTCACTCCCCCCCATTAATCTCCCATTAGACCCAGCTAGTGTATGTTTGACAGCAGGATTGTTAGCATTCTCTTACGAGTATTAATTGAGTATTCCAAGTAATAGTCTGGACTCTTAAGTTGAAGAACATGTTTGTGCTTGTGCTTTCAGACTGTAGAATGTGAAGAAGGTAGTGAAGATGATGAATCCCTCCGAGAAATGGTGGAGCTGGCTGCACAGAGACTCTACGAGGCCCTTACACCGGTTCATTGATAACCTTGTACCTCTGTATACACTTTTTTTAAATGATCAATTCTAATTCTGTTACTGAAAATACCTCTCTCTGGCCTGTCTCCTTACTTTTGATATTGCTGCTGTTAGCTGCTGCCAGTCCACCCTCCACTCACTGCATCCGGTACACAGAGATCAGACTAACTGCTCTGACCCACAGGGCTTTCCCTCTCTGGCACCTCCCCGTGCCCCCCTGGATATAGATTGCCAGCCCAGCCCTTCCTTTCTAGTTTGCTTAGTTGGGGAGCTCCTCTGAAACCTGTTTCAGCAGCACAAACGCCTCCGCTGACAGATGGGTAGAAGCTGTGCCTGCATGTATTGGAGAATGGATCCCAGGTCTCCTGCAAGGGAGGCTAGAATGCCCATGAACCCCACCAGTGCCCTTCTTTTGACATTAAACTCAAACCAAGCCCACTTCTGTCTAGTCAGTTCCGAGTCATAGTGACCCTTTATAGGATTTCTGAGCCTCGTGTTTTTTCCCATGGAGCAGCTGGTGTGTTTGAACCACTGATCTTTTGGTTAGCAGCTCAATGCCTAGCCCATTGTGCTACCAGGGCTCCTTTCATTCTTTCTTTTTTAAGTCATTTTATTGGGGGCTTGTACAGCATCACAATCCATACATACATCCATTGTGTCAAGCACATTTGTACATTTGTTGCCATCATCATTCTCAAAACATTTTCTTTCTACTTGAGCCCTTGGTATCATCTCACTTTCCCCCTCCCTCCTCAACTATCACTCCCTAACGAACCCTTGATTATTTATATTATATATTATTATTTTTTCATGTCTTACACTGTCCGTTGTCTCCCTTCACCCACTTCTCTGTTGTCCTTCCCACAGGGAGGGGGTCATATGTAGGTCATTGTGATCGGTTACCCCTTTCTCACCCACCTTCCCCTTACCTTCCTGGTATCTCTACTCTCATTATTGGTCCTGAGGGGTTCATCTGTCCTCTGCACTGTACCAATGTACATGCTCTGGTCTAGCTGGATTTGTAAGGTAGAATTAGGATCATGATAGTAGGGGGAAGAAGCATTTAAGAACTAGAGGAAAGTTGTAGGTTTCATCGGTGCTATACTGCACCCTGACTGGCTTGTCTCCTTCCCAAGACCCTTCTGTAAGGGGATGTCCAGTTGCCTACAGATGGGTTTTGGGTCTCCACTCCACACTCCCCCTCATTCACAATGATATGATTTTTTTCTTTGATGCCTGATACCTGATCCGATCGACACCTCATGATCACACAGGCTGGTATGCTTCTTCCATGTGGGCTTTGTTGCTTCTCAGCTAGATAGCTGCTTGTTTATCTTCAAGCCTTTAAGACCCCAGACATTATATCTCTTGATAGCTAGGCACCATCAGCTTTCTTCACCCGATTCACATTTGCTTATGCACCTGCTTTGTCTTCAGCGATCGTGTAAGGAAGGTGAGCATCATGGAATGCCAGTTTCATAGAACAAAGTGCTCTTGCATTGAGGGAGCACCAGAGTGGAGGCACCAGGGCTTTCATTTAGCGTTACATGGTTTTATCCCAACAGCTTAAATAGTGCTGCATCACCAATGAATTTAGCTATCATTCTAGAACTAAATCATCTGCCCATTATTTTAGAACTTACTGATTCTGCTTGTAAGCATGAGTGCAGCTCTCACTACCAACTTTGAGTGTCTGCACATACCAGATCAACCTTGTCTTACTGTATTTTCTTAAAGACAAAATGCACACCACTGTATTCTAATATGAATTGATAGCTAGAAATTACCTCAACATTTTAAACGCCTTTTCTGGGTTTTTTTTCCCTTCTGACACCAAGGTTCCTTAGTTTCTATGTTTGTAAACTTATGACTTTGAGGCTTCAATAATATTTGAACAATTTGAATTTGAACAATTCAGGGATACTCAAAAAAAATTTTAGTAGTATCCCAGGGAATTCAAATACCAATTGTTGAATTTTTCATGTGTAAATTAATCATGAATCCAATTTCCTGAATTACCACTTCAAATTTATAAGTACAATGATACCTCAGTTGTTAAACTCAGCTCCAAATTCATGTTCAAATACAAAAAAAGTTCGAGAACTGAACATATTTTTCCCATAAGAAATAATGGAAAACCAAATAATTGGTCTGAGATATAAAAATTACACTTATAAATTCATTTTTCCAGGACTTGAGCAGAAAATTAGCAGCCTTAGGTTGTAGAAATGCCCCCTAAAAACATCTGGAGTAGCTGAGTGTGAGCTTGTTGCTGTCTCATACGAGGCGTCTCTGTGATCTGACCAGTCCTGAGCCTGGGGCGACGTGTTAACAGAGTGGTGGTGGTGGCTGCGGTTCCTGGCAGCCTGGTGCAGTGCAGGTTAGATCGGCTCGGGATGGTTTTCAAGGCTGCTACTTTGCGGGCAGATGGTCAGGCCTGTGTTCTGGGGTGCCTCTGCATGGGTTCAAACCAACAAACACGCACTAGAAGTCTAGTGCTTTTCAGTTTGCACCACTCTGAGGCCTCTTGGTCACCTACTTGAATAAAAATGGATTTCTGTCTACACAGAAGGGAGTAAACAGCTGCTCACCTTCACAGCCAGGAGTTTTGGGAGTGGTCAACATTCACAAGCACATGAAGGTCACCAATTATCTGCCTCATTGACACAATTTAGTCCTCATCTTGCCTCCTGCTGATTTAAACACCTTCCCTGAGCTCTGATGAACTGTTAAAGTGAAATAAGACAGCCTACACCATTTTATCTTTAGCCCAAACCAAAGGTGTAAGTGTCACCATTGATAAGCAGCATATAAAACTACTTAGTTACAAACACCTAAAAATTATTTAAGACAACACTACACGTTTCTTAGAATACTTTTTTTTAATGCTCTTAATACAGAAATCTATACAGTAGAAAAAGGAAATCTTGTTTCCTAATCCCTCTTCCCTACAGCAATAACCATAAAGATGCGAAATAGCTCTTGGCTCGTTTACTTCGGATCCACTACAGCTGGTCAAGTCGCGCTCCGCACGCCGGCAACAACCTCGCTCGGGCTGACTAAAGATCCACAGATGGGACTAGCTCCGCCCTGGCGCCCTTGGGGGGCTCCTCCCTTAGGGTTAGTCTGCAGACCGCCGGGCGGCCGCTCACCCGGGGGGCATTAAGACGTGCTGACGCGGCCCCCGGTGGTGTGGGGATGCTAACCACAAGGTCAGCAGTTTGAGCCGCCAGCCTCCCGGAGGACGCTGACAGCGTCAGAAGCCGACCCGGCCTTCTCCGCCTGCAGGCTCGCGGAGACCCGGCCCACTGAAGAGCGGGCCGCGGAGGAAGCAGCCGGAGGGCGCGCACTGCGCAGGCGCCCCGCCCGCCCGGATATCCGGCCTGTGCCCTGGGCGCGCTCCCGCGCCGGCGTCATGGCGCTCTCCGAGGCGGCCGGCTCTCGGGGCTCCCTGTTGTGGCCGCGCGTGTTGCTCTTCGGGGACTCCATCACCCAGGTACCGCCACTCCGGCTTCCCGGACTGGCCTGGCACCGCCGCTCCCCGCGGGCCCTCGCCCGGCCCGCCCCTCGGCTCGCGCTGCGCCCGTCTCCCCACTTGGTCGCGCGCGGGAGGCGGGAGCCCCGGCCCCCGGTCCCCAGTGCCCCGCTCCGCGTCTGCGCCGGGGGAGGGCCCGTGGGCGCTGGGGAGCGCCGGGCAGGAAAGCCCCCCACCTGGGCGCCGCGGGCGGTGGGGCAAGGAGTGGTTGATCCGAAAGTAAAGTGCTCCCATAAATACAGTCGAAGAGAACGCCGTCTTATCCGAGGTCAACTCGGCTCACATGTAAGAAAAAAAATTAGGGAATTATATATATATCTAACTCAAGAAAGGGACATCTATTTTAGAAGTTATTTCCGGGTTTCCTTTATATTTAGGTGTGACTTTGCAGAGCAGTTTGGGTGTGCCGTAAGCGGCTATCCCTAGTTTTAGGCAGCTGCAGCAGTAAAGGCTTTCCGCATCCCGCGTGAGTTGAGTTCTGGAACTAAACCAGTGTACTCCCTCGGTCTTTGGCCTGCGAGCCACTGAAGAGCCCTGGCGGCCGAGAGGGCAGGCGTGGGCAGCGGTCCTTGAGGTCGGCAGTTCGAAGCCTCCGCAGCCCTTCTCGTCGGGTCCGTCTCAAACGCGCCGGGGCAGGGTCCGAATTGACTGGATGGCGGTGCGTGTGGACAAGGATTAGCGTGGTCTTCGTTCCTAACCGAACGCAGTGGACGTTTGGCTCTTGTACATGGGTTTCCCAGAACCTTTTTCTAGCTAATGACTCCAACATGTTGTTAGCTGCCATCGAGCCATTTCCGACTTGTGCAAGGAAGAGTGTTCCCTTAGGTGCTCCGGGTTGCGACCCTTCAGAAGCAGATCTGCATGTCTGCCATCCAGACCACGAACCAGAGGCGCCCACACGTGGCGGGGGACACAGGCTGCCTCTTTATCCCCTCAGCGGCTCATGGGTGAGAAGCACCAGCCTTTCCGTTAGCAGTCAGGCGTTTAACCACTGCCACCGACTTTAAAACCGATCCGAACCTCATGGAATGGTTTCGATCTGGATAAAATGTAAACGAATAGTTCAAATGCAGTTTATACGGAAGAAAAATGGTATGAGCAAGTCCAATGCGGACGGCTATGGAAGTGCAGAGAAAACCAAAGGAGAGTTGCAGCTTTAAAATTCCGTTCACTAAAATGTTTTCATTCCATTGATAAGTAGTAACGGGCTTTTCTTCAGTTTGCTTTTCAGCAAGGTGGATGGGGCGCTTCACTGGCTGACAAGCTGGTCAGGTGAGAAACGTTTCTAGATTCTAGACTGATACTTGAGTGTCTGCCGATAGTGTAATTGTATCTTAGGGGGAAAGAGGGTGGATTATAAAGACAGGTGAAATAGTAAATTTAATAGTAAAACAGATAGTAGCTCCCTAATCAAGGACTGAGGTCTGGGCACCAGCTAGTTTTTACTGTGAGACAAAGCTGTTGTCCTTTGTTCCTTTAGTGCCACTGTGACTAAACCGATGGTTCAGTGTAAGATAAGGACTCATCCTGTCATGTCATCTTACGGTATTAGGGATTGGATTCTTAAATATGACCACTCAATAAGGATTTTACTTAGGGCTGAACTTTTCCATGTTGTTCCCAAGACTTAAAAGCCGTTACCTTAAAAACAAAGCTGTTAACCTTAGAGCGGCCCGCGCAGTCTCCTGCCTCCTGCTCTCTGGAATCACCCACCTGGCAGTCAGCGTTGGTACCCTAGCATCTCCAGCATAATCTTTTGAAGTCTTCTTTGAAGCATATTGTAGTTGCTATTTCTAATCCTTATTTAAGGCGCCCTGGTGGTGTAGTGGTTACGTGTTGGGCTGCAATCTGCATAGTCCCAACAGTTCGAAACCACCAAGCAGCTCTTAGAAGGACTGGGCCTTCTGCTCCCATAAACAGAGTCTCAAACTCGCAGGGGCTCCCCGTGAGTCGGCCTTGACTTGATGGCAGTGAGTTTGGTTTTTGAAATTCTTAACCTGTGAACAAGGTATCAGAATTCCCATTGGACAGATAAAGGTCAGTAGAGCTTAAATCGCTTGTTCAAAGTCAAGCAGCTGGTCTCAGTGCAGGTGTCTTACTCCAAGCTCAAGCTCGCCGACATCCAGTCGATTCCAAGTCATTGCGACCCTGCAGAACGAATTAGACTGTGCCCTGTGCGTTCTCGGGAGTAATTGTGTATGGAAGCCTCCTCTTTCGGCTTCAACAGCAGGTGTTTTCAAACTTCTTACCTTGTGGTTAGCAGCCCCACTTAGAACCCAATACAAGGCCTAGCTGCTAAACTACATTGAAGCAGTTCTGGGGTGCTACAGAGAAGAAATAACAAGCTAAATTTGAATGCAGACCTGCCCAAACCAAAATCAATCATGGCCTTTCAAAAACTTGATTGAAAAATGGAACTGAAAGACAGTGGGAATTTTCTGCAAACTTCTTAAAGCTCCATCTTATGTAAAAATGAACACAGATGTTTTTAAAGTAATTGTAGACAACTTCAAAAATCTTCATGAGAGCATAGATTATAGTATATAGGACCCATGTGTCCATCTCTTCCATCCCCTTGCTGTCACTTACTCTGAAGCAAACCCTGGACCATATAGTTTTACCAGAGTGATTTTCTATCAGCATGAGCCCAGGGACAAAGTCGAGAAGGCTTTGAAAAGGAGAATGGAAATGGGAAAGTGGGATACATCAATAAGATGAGACAAAATTTTGAATTGTTGAATGTAAAACATGGCTCTATAAAGCCTATACTGAATGCACAATAAAAAGTTCATAACCAAGCACTTCTAATGTAGCTAATGTATTAAACTTTTTGCCTTCAAGTTGATTTCAATTAATAGCAACCCTCCAGGGCAAGGTAGAACTGCCCCATGGAGCTTTTAAGGGTATAATCTATGGCAGCAGACTGCCCGGTTGTTATCCCATAGAGCAGCTGGTGGATTCAAACTGCTGACCTTTCAGTTAACAGCCAAGCACTTAATCATGTGCCGCTGTTTTTGACTGTTGTCTGCTTTGGAGCTTTTATCTTCGTTTGACATGTAAGGAGCTAAGTAACATGCCCACAGTCACACGGTTCACACACGCCAGGGCAGCCTGGTTCTCTGACTGTACTCTGAGTCCAACCAGTATGTTTAAGAAGAAGGGAGAGAAATGCCTCTTAACTGAAACAATATATAAAAGCTATTGAACTGAAACAATTTAAAACTTGAGAATATTCTGTGTATTTAGTGTGAACATTTAGTTTTGTGTGTGTAGTATCTTGAATTCCAGCTTATATAATGACTTTCTATATCAGACATTTGCTCAGACTAGTTTGTCATAAATTCCACTTTTTAAACTGTCCTGTGCATGACAGTCTGCAGACTGAATCGTGGCATCTCTCCTATGAACTCCTTCGGTGGGGGAAAATAGGGTGCCCGAGCATCTCCTTGCCCTCATCGCACGGGGGTACATCCTGGGCTGTTTACCATGAGGGCAGTGGTTCAGGACTACCAGCTGCTCGGAGGGAAAGAGGCTTTCGACTCCTGTGAAGACGTATAGTCTCAGAAACCGACGGGCAGTTCTCGTCTGTCTTGTCGGGTCCCTGAGCCAGTCTCCACTCAGTGGCAATGAACGTGAGAGCAGGGATCAGAGTGCAGCCTTGGGCTGGACCTGGGTTGTGGACCAACATCAAAGGTCAGCTCCATGAAACCGATCATTGCTCTCTCCCCACAACTTTTACAATTTCATTTCAGAAAGTGTGATGTTCTGAATCGTGGGTTTTCAGGCTACAATACCAGATGGGCCAAAATCATTCTCCCGAGAATCATTGGGAATGGGAGCGGTCTGGACCGCCCTGTAGCAGTTACGATTTTCTTTGGTGCCAATGACAGTGCTTTAAAAGGTAAGGGCATTTTTGGTTTTTTTTCTAGCTCATTTCTAATTATTTTTACCTTAAAATAAGCAGTTAAAACAGCACATTTATCTTCAAATAGGTAAGTTTTGCAAAACTTATAAGCCAATTCCCTGATTTTCCTCTATTTCTTCTGGGTTGATGTTGGTAGATTTGATTTTGGACTCATTTCTCCATGCGCTTGGTTGGTCCATCTAAACCAGCGGTTCTCAACCTGTGGGTCTCGACCCTGTTGGGAGTCAAACGACCTTTTCACAGGGGTCGCCCGATTCATTACAGTAGCAAAATTACAGTGATGAAGTAGCAACGAAAATAATTTTATGATTGGGGGGGTCACCACAACATGAGGACCTGTATGAAAGGGTCACGGCATGAGGAAGGTTTAAAAAAACCACTGATCTAAACTGTCTGAGATAGTTTATTGTGCCAGCCTGGCCGATAAACACAGGTGGGATTGACTGAAGGGCAGAGAGATAAATGCCTTGGTGAGTCTCACCTTTCTTGTCTCTCGCTCTTTGATCATCGGACCAGTGTGCGGCTGCCTTGCTTGTCCTGTGCCTCAATTTAAAGGCTACACTACCTGTGGGACCCCTAGCCTGTGGACTGTGTCACTGTAAGTTGAGGTCCCTTTAAGACATCGCTGGAGCTGGGGACTGGCAGTTGGTGACCTGCCTTCTGATTGGCTGCTGTGCTGACGTAGCCTAGCTCTCTCTATAAATAGAGGAACATCTGGCAGCAGACTGGACTGGAAGGCCTCTCTCACAAGTCTCTCACGGCAGTGAATTGAATTGAGCCACTTGTAGTGCTTTATAATTTAACTGTTTCTTTCTTGTATTATATATTTAACTGTATATGATTTAACAGTTCATTCCTTGTTATATATCTAATTATCTTTATAAATAAATATATTAAATTATCAGCAATTTGGTTTTATCTCTCTAGAGAACCCTGTCTAACACACTGTCATACTTTCGTACTCTGCAGCTCATACTTGGGATGTTTGCTAGATCCATGCACGCTGCAGTGCATTAGGAGTACAAGTAGTCCCCAACTTACCACATATTCAAGTTACAACAGACTGCACTTAGACCATCTGAGTGATTTTTGTTTTACATGAATATCCAACCCCCTAGATGATAATGCGCAATAGTAATGAGCAAGGGGAGGGGGGGCATGTGGTGGGGGACTTTTTAGGTGAGGCTTGCAGCCCAAGGTACAAGAAGGGACAGCTACTAATTACAATTGCAAAGAATCTTGGCTGTGTCTGAGAATGGGTGTATGAATTAGTTATTAGCAGAGCCCTCTCATACTGAAGGGTGAAGCTACTGAGCTGTAGTCATTGTTGACAGTGGCCGACTGAGTGCTTATTTCATAGCCAGAACCCTGCCCTTAATGCTTTACACCCTTCACTGATTGGTTTTCCCGCTTTCTCCTAATGTCACCAGTGTGGAAACTCAGGTATTACGATCAATTATTTTTCCAGTTTAAAGGTTCCAGGGTTTGACTGTGGATATTCTTGATCCACATCGAGGCTGCTTAGCTTCTGTACAAATCCCCTGACGAATTCCCAACATGCCCCGAGAGAAGGCAGGGTCTCTGAAGTTTCACCCAGCACTGGGCGACAGACATCCTTCCCCCCTTTCCTGTCTGGGCGACAGATGTCCTTCCCCCCTTTCCTGTCTGGGTGACAGACGTCCTTCCCCGGAACCTCATGAACCGCCACCCACATGTGGAACAGAGTTTTGATTGTAACTGTTGTCATTGGGCTGAAGTGCTCGTGCTCCTCTTGAACAGATGAGAATCCTAAGCAACACATCCCGCTGGAGGAGTACCTGGACAATCTCAAGAGCATGGTGCAGTACCTGAAGTCTGTGGACATCCCGGAGAAGAGAGTGATCCTCATCACACCGCCGCCGCTTTGTGAGACGGCGTGGGAAAAGGAGTGCATCCTACAAGGTAGCATGCAGACCACCATCTCCTCAAACTTGGTTGTGAATGCGTGGTTCCCAGCCAGCCACGCAGTCCCGATGGTGCCCCTGCTGGCTGAGGTAGGTGTGTGCGCCACCTGTGATCACTGGGGCAGTCCTGCTGGTCCATCTGATTGAAGGTGCCCCTTGCTTTGGTTGGTCTCCTAGCCAGAGTGAACGGTCAGAGTCCCTCCCGCCTTCCTTGTGGTCTTGTCTCTTCCAAGGTTCGTGTGTCTTTGGCAGTCTGATTGACCTGCTGTCTGCTCTCACATCTTTCTTCCGGTCTTCCTTTTTCACAGGTGATCCATAGGATAATGTTGGAAGTGGATCACCAGACTTTTCTCCTGAGCTTGGAAGTTCTCAAACCTTATTAGCCATGGGCGACTGCTGGTACTTGACCTACTTGTGGTGTGGCTTTCGGCACCGCAGTGCACAGCAGCCACCACATATAACGGGCAGGTGATCCGGAGAACAGGGTAGACCCGACCCTGAAGATTGTCTAGGCAGAAATCTTTATGAGAGCTGCCCTGTCTCCCACAGCGCTCTCTGCTTCTCATCCAGCTTACAGTTCACTGCAGTGGCCATACAGACGGCTTATGGTGATGGGATTTACTGTGGAAGGTAACAGGTTACACGTTCAGGGGGAATGCTCGGGACAGAGTTGTTCGGTCAGGAGATGTTCCAGAATTTCTCTAGGGCTGCCAGCGAATGCCCCAAAGGCATGCCACTCTGCTGTAAGCCTCAGCTGGAGTCCCCCGGCTGCAGTTCCACAGGTCCACAACTTCAGTTTCCCAGGAGGGGTATCCAGAGGCACCCCACTCCAGTCAGCCTCCACCCAAAAGAATCAACGCCAGCAGTGAGCCAGTACACTCGGGTCCCTGACTTAAGTACCCAGAGACCCCTACTCCACAAGCCAGCCTTCTGCCCCAAAGCACAGCTCTCTCTGCTTTGTGGGTTGTGAAGTCCTCTGCTCTGGCCCCTGGTTCTGCTGCTGCTGGCACAGCTGTCACTCTGTTGTCACAGCTTTCTTGTGGATCCAAGAGGTCTAGTGCATGGGAATCTCAGCATGCAGAGGACCGCGTCACTCCTGGCTCTTGCTGAGGTGCTGTTCCCTCCTCCTGCTTCTCAGAGAGGCTCCTTTCTTACCCAGCCAGAGGGGCAATCACCATGAGTTTCTTTAACAAGCACTCGCCACTGGGTCCTGTCAGCGTCTCTCCCTTCTCTTGCTCAGACCCATCAGGAAAAGGTCCGTTGGTGAGCTCCTGACCTACAGACTGCCCCGTGTCTTCCCCAGGACCACTGTGGGTGCCACTGATTTCAGCAGCAGGGCTCCTCCTAACCCAGCCCAGCCCACTGTCTTCAGCCACTTCCTGTTCACTGTGGCCCCACAGGAAGAATGTCAAACTTTGTGGAAACAGGCTGCCACAGCTTTCTTCCAGGAAACAGCTGAGGGAGTTGAACTTTCAACCTCTTGGCTGGCAGCTGAGCACTTAATCACTGTACCACAAGAACAACTCTTATGGGTCTATAAGTTTATTTTAGTTTGTCTCCAGTCAGCATCAGGAAAAGGAAAAACAGTATACATTTCACTATGTCCATTAACTTCTTGGATGTACCAAAGGGATTTGTACTTGAACAGCTTAAACAATAGGAGTCCTGGTGGCGTAGTGGTTAAGGGTTGGGCTGCTAACCACCAGGTCTGCAGTTTGAAACCACCAGCTGCTCTGAGAGAAAGACAGGGCTGTCTACTCCCGTGAAGAGTTAGAGGTTTTGAAACCCTCATTGGCAATGAACTTGGTTTTGGTTTGGTTCAAACAGTCCTATAAGGAACTCTGCATAAAAAGCAGCCAGACCTCACAGGGAAATTATTCTAGGATAAATTGGATAGCTTTGTGCATCACAGGGCAGCTGTTTCTCACAGTATACCTGACTCAATGTTAGCTATTTTTTGGTAGATTTTCAGGCTCCTTTTAAGAAGCACTCTAGTACTTTGAACTCCCTTGGAGTTTCTTATGCATGCTCCTTTTAATAGATGGGAGAGTCTTAGACAGTCAGCTTGCTGGAGTTCATGCAGTCGTGACTCACGGCCAGGTGACCTGACTGCCCTGCCCAGCAGTTACGTTGCACAGGGCTCAGCATTATTGCAGCAGGCCTCCTCTCAAGGAGCAGATGGCCTACCAGGCAGTTCCACTCTCGGAGCCGTGTGCTCACTGGCAGTGGAAAAGTCTGATCACTGCACCAGGACAGACACATGGAGACCGTGAGGTTCCATCTGGCCCAGGAAACAGTCGAATCCTTGGCTCCCCACTTTCTTAGGGCTTAGTGACTGGTGTGTTCTGAGCCCCAACAGGGGCATTGAATCTAATCCAGTATAAAAAGGTAATAGCTCAGCAAAAGCAGGTGGGGAGAAGGGTTTCCTAAAGATGTTGAGAGAACGCTAATCTAGGTGAATTTCACTACATAGGAATCAAAGTAGAGGAGGAGTTCCTTGTTTCCCCCTCAGACCCGCAGTGCGTCGTCTCAGGCAGTCTTCCTTACCCCTCCCCTTGTCCTCAGCTGCTGAAGCCAGACTCTCTCCTCTTGAAGGTCACATTTCTCCAGGCCCTCTTCCCACTGCCCCCAGGTGGTACCCAGGGAGCAGCGCCCCACCATTCTGCCTGCCTTCAGCTCTCCTTCCCCTGCGCCCCTGCCCCGCCCCGCCCCCGCAATGGTGCAGGCATCATGCTCATGCTCCCAGCAGGCTTCAGACACCCTGTGCTAAGTGCCCAAGTTGGATCTTTGTTCCCATGCTCCTTGACTCAACAGTTACCACCAGAGAAGAAAAAGGCTTCACACACTGCGCTGCGGCAGTCGCAGACATCAAAGCAGTGCTCCTCCCAACCTTCAGTTGAGGGTGCTGGGCCACTCTGCACAGATCGTGGGGCTGGGTCCCTGACAAGTCGTGTAGGTGAAGCACGGCGAGATGGCAAGAGCTGTTTCCTAGAGATCGCCCACAAAAAAGCACAGCACAAGCCCGGCCTCCGATTTCACCTTGTGGGCAGCAGCTGCCCATTACCAACAGGAATTTGAAGTTCTCAGCCTAGTCCACTCCCATGATCTGATCACCATTCCTTCCAGCATGTCCCTTGCCAGCCACCAGCCCCACATACAGCAGCCCAGACTGAATGCCCTACGATGTGACCCCCCCTACCGCCTCAGGCTTGTGCCACAGGGTGCTCAGAAGGCTCAGCTCCAACCACTGCACCCTAAGATTCACTAGCACCCGTGAGGGCTTCAAAACTTTTGTGGAAAAATCCCACCCCCCCTTTTCCACAAACTTGAAACTCCCATTTGTCAGCAACCTGTGAGGGTGGGATCAGTGTCGGCTCCAGGTGGGGAGCTGTCTTATGCACTGACCAGTGCCAGGGTCCACCCATTCACCTGGGTTTTCTCTCTCCTCAACAGGTTGCAAATTAAATCGCCTAAACTTGGTTACTGGTGAATATGCCAAAGCCTGTTTACAAGCCGCGCGAGACTGCGGGACTGGTGTTCTTGACCTGTGGACCCTGATGCAGGACAACCGGGTACACTGAGCTGCTCAGGCAGAGGGCGAGCAGGACCCTCGGTTTGTGCGGCTTTTCCTAGAATGACTGTTTAGGCAGGGCTTTCCCACACACACACACTCCCTCTCCCTGTAGGGCTGCTCCCAAACCCAGTTCCGTATTTGGTTCTTTCAGCAGTTGACATCCTGTGGGAACAGCTTTTACATTTTGGAATTATCAGGTAGTGAATTAAATAGGCAAAAAATGGTCCTTAATACTTAAGAGCATCCAGATAAAAATTTTTATATGGAGTAGGGGAGAGTTCAAACTCTTTAATAGACAAAACAATGAATATGCTATTAAACTCATTGCCCTTCATTCCAGTTAATATCAACCCTATAGACCGAGTGGAACTGTTCTGGGCTTTCTGAGGCTGTGTATCTTTATGGAAGCAGGTTGCTTCCTTTCTCCTGCTGAGTAGTGGGAGGTTCAAAGGCCAGCTTCACAGTTAGCAACCCAGCACTTCCCACAGTGTCACTAGAGCTCCTGGGTAAGGAAATTTAGAGTCTTGAAGAGATGTAGTTCCAATTACTTTAGATAAGACCAAGTTTTAAAGAACCAGTGGAGTCCTGACACTGATTCTGACTCCACCCCCTCACCTTTGTCCTCAGGCACTGTCCCCTCACATGGAGCAAACCGTGGTGCAGGCAGGCCTAGGTCAGTCAAGGCCGCAGCAGCACAAGATCACATGCAGAGTTGAGCTTTCCTTTTGTGCTAAGGTTCCATACAAGTTGGTTTGGAAACAAGCTGCAAATTATAACGCTAATCCCACACAGGTCCTTCTGTGTAGCATGAAGAATCTAGAACTCGGGTCTTCCTTAGCCCATGTAATTGAGTAATTCTCATCTAAGTAAGGCACAGGGAGTGCTATTCGAATCTGAATTCCACATCTAGAAAAGCCATGTGCCTAATTGAACAACCCCAACTCCAATCAGATTGGAGTCAGTAGCCCGCCCGCCTCTAAAATGTGAGGATTGCGCTGGGGAGACTGGCTGCTTCACATCCCAGCAGCTGTGCTTCTATGGTCGATGGTAGGGCTCTTTTCATTCATGTGACATCCACACAAGGAACAGGAGACGGACTCGAGATGTTAACACCAGCGCCTTCATCTTTGTTAGACTAACAGCTGTACTTGCTCGTGAAGCTGCTTTCAGCGGAAAAGCTGGCGTGGAGTGACAACGAGCGCAGACATGGGTACATGGTTTATGAGCACGGGAGCTGTGAGAGGGAGCAGTATGTCTCTACTAAAGCTTACCACGGGCACCTGACACGTCTCTGGGCAAACGTTCGATGAGAGTGAGTTCAAGGCCTTGAGGGAAAGAAAGTAGCAGAGATGCTCCACAGCTGGCAGGACCATTGACGTGCAGGCTGGAACACGGGTGGGAGAACTGTGCACCGATATAGAAAGAGAAAACCGAACACCTGTTCTCTGTCCTTACAGGATTTCTCTTCCTACTTATCAGATGGACTACACTTGTCACCTAAGGGGAATGAATTTCTCTTGTCGCACTTGTGGCCTCTGTTGGAGAAGCAGCTCTCTCCCCTGCCCTTGCTGCTTCCTTACTGGCGAGATGTAACGGAAGCAAATCCTGAACTGAGTCTGCTGGGAGGCGGGGACCACTAGTCGGTCCCAGAACTGGCAGGTTAGGATGGCAGCCCAGAGGACCAAGCACAAAGCACTTTTCCCTCCTGACTCTGTATTTGCCACCAGTATTAATAAAAGCAGTAGGACCTTTTTTTCCAGGGAAACTTTATATCTGGGTACATTGTGTTTTCATCATTTTAAGTATTGATTTATCGATGCAGGGATCATCAATGTTACCCCTATAAGATGTACCTGCACAGCTGGCCAATTCTATAAATAGCAAAAAAGGTAAAGACAATTCTGTTTTTAAAAAAGACAATTTTATAAAAAATTCTGCTGGGAACAGTTTTCATACATACACACCCACACCCTACTCACCTTGTATCAAATTTCCAAAAGTGTAACTAAAAGATAAGAGTACTGTTTTTAGTTCAAAGATAGCAAATACCTTAAGGTACAGGTTCAAGTATTAGTGTAACAAGGATCGGAGTAACATGGCCTTGGGGAGGGGCCGGACCAGGATCTGTCACAGGTCTGGTTCATTGCCCTCAAGAGTTCCTAAGTTACTCAGTTCAAATGTGTTGGCTGCTGAGCACATTTCAATATGATTTTTAAAAAGCTTTTATCTATAATATTATGGAAATCACAACTCAATCTCTGGTGACTTTTATCCTTCACAGAGAAAATGCAGGTGGCCCAGTCTGGAAGCCCTGAAACAAAAAGCCATGAATGCAAATGCGCTAGGGAGAGCGTATGGAAGGCCATGGCGTCCCTTGGCAGAGAGCAGCCCCGTTCCCGTGGTGAGAAATAATTCACTCCCTCACGTCCACTATGGTTTGAAAACAGGCAACCAAATTCCTTCCATCTTTGAAGGAGCTCATGAATTTTTTTAAAGAGCACAGCCCCAGTATTAGGGAGACATGATACTGAAATACAGGAAAAAAATACCCAGCAAATTAGCCAGATTCTTTAAAATTCAAATTGGCTAGTATTATTTATAACCCTAACTGTAAGCTAGATGGTTTTAATTCCAGAAGATAGTAACAGAATTACAGAGACACAATAACCCAAATGATACCTACTTTCCCTGCTGCTACAGCAGAGTGGGACCTAGAAATAGAAGCCATATTGTGGAGATATTAGGTTTGACCTAGCTCCTTTGTCTTGAAGGCAATGAAAAATAAATACTGTGTTCCAGTTTTCCAAAAATAACTGCTAAATACCTCATATTCAGCGGATCATTACAGTGTATAAAAAGAAAATCATCCCTTAATCAGTGCTGTTACCAATATAAAAAGTTATAATTTACAAAAATGTAAATATTCAATCTAATCCAGCTGTGTATCCTACTTTTGTACCACAGGTTGAAAGACATTTTAAAGATCAAAAAACTAAAACCTGAAAGGCTCAAAATAAGCTAGATTCGCCTTCTCTCTGTAAAAGGGAGGCGGCCAGACACGTGACTAGCATCCGTCAGTCACTCCTGTCTGTCCCCTGCAGCTCCGCTGTGCGCGGCCCCACTAGCACTCGGTCTCCTTGCTGTCCACGCGGTTCTGCCGCTGCAGCTTGAAGGAGGAGGCCTTCTCGCTCCTCGTGACCGGGCGCTCGGTCAGGTCTTCAAAGGATTTGGCGGCCGTGCTGTTTGGGAACGGGTCCTCAAAGGCATCCCCGTCTATGTTCGAGTCAGTGCTGGGGTCTTCCTGGATGGTGTCCATCCTCTGGTGGTCCAGTTTCGGAGCCACTGGCACTGGAAGCATCACCGGGGTGGGCGGCAGGGGCTGGAGGCGGCAGGGAGTCGGGGGTGCAGGGAATGGTCTAATAATGCGGACCGATGCAGAATCCATGCTGCTGAGCATTTCAACGTTCTGGAAAAGACAAAGGCTTTGCTGGTACCAGAGAAGGTGTATCACAGCTGAGCTCAACCTTGCCCCCCATCACGTGCTTCCACACTTGTCTGCACCGCGCTCCCTCCCTCGTGCTGAGTGCCCAAGCTGCCCAAGATGTGACTCAAGGTAGTTTTGGTATCCTGTCACTTGACTGTGTTTGAATCATTCAAAAGGTCTTCACAGGTAACTGCAAGCCTGCCACTATCATTAAGAAAAGATCTGGAAACAAACTCCGCACTGGCTCTGGCTGTGAGTAGGGAGGAGAAGAGGCCTTGATTCTGCAGCCTCACGACTGCTGCGGTGGGTTACTGTCACCCTCCTGCGGCAGCTGGTCTCACCACCAACAAAGGAGCGAACGTTCTGCTGCAGCCCTTGGGCTCCTGCAGCTGGCATTGTCTTTGAGCGGAGGCAGCATACTTACACTGGGGTGAAACAGGGACAGAGACTCATACTGCTTATCCAATTTCTTATCCTAGAAAAAACGGGACAGCAGGTCATTCCCACACAGAATCCATCAATAAGCGCTCATTTCTTACAGGCTACTCCCAATCTAAAATTAGAACCTGAGCTGTAGAAAGGGGTGGCAGGTTCAATACGGAATGAAAATGTCAAGCACGAAAAGGTTGGCATTCAGCTCAAACGGGCAGTGGTATAAATGCTATTTGTTCAAAATTTCTCTCCCACTGCACTCAGCATAAAGGCATTTCCTGTTGAGTCATCAGATCAGGGTACCAGTTTCTGAGTTCACCAATTAAAGGGGCAGCTGGACTCAGGCTTGCTCAGCACTGAGCTCCCTGCCCCAGGACACCACGGCCTCTTCTCAGCCAGCGTCAGTTGGAGCACTGGGCCTCGAGTTCCTGTGTCCCATGGATCTCAGCCCTGCTCCACGCTGAGGCTGAACAGGTGAAAGGGAGGGAGGGCAAGCCTGAGGCTCGAAACCAGCTGCTCTGAGTAGCCTGCCTCACGGTCCCCAAGAGCAGATTCCACTGCAGCGGGTTGAGCCTTCTTGAGATGGGTGTCCTCCGTCCCCTTCGAAGGAAGCTACTGGACTTTCAAGAAAATTGTTGCAGCTCCTCAGTCTGCTCGTAGCTGTTGCTCACTTAGCACAAGAGTTGAGAGAGCTGAGTACCTGCACAGCAGCGCCAAAAGTCTCGGGCAACGCCTGTGGAGTGCTGGTGCCGCAGCACGGTTACTGTCCCACCACAGGCAGCCTGAAAATGCCCTTGTTTAGACGCCTTCCTCATCGCAGGCCTGTGACTAAAGTCAGGTAAACCGTCTGAGTCTTAGAAATACGAAATTCCTCCAAAGTTAAGATAAAATACCATGAAAATTAGTGGTTTCTGTTTGTCATCTTTTTTGGAAGATGACTGGTTAAGCTTTTCAAGATGTATTCCTACGATGTCACACAAAATTATCATTGGAAACAATTATCTTTTTGGAGCTGTTGATTATAATTTGTAATGACTTACCACACAGTGGACCAGAATGCTGAAGGGAATCCAGAAGATGAGGGAGAAAACCAGCACGGACCCCACGATGTTGTCCGCTAAGAACTTCCCTGTAGACCATGCAGAGGGCATCTTGGTCAGGAAACTGGCAAACATACAGGTATGACACCTGACCGTGTTTTGTGGCACGCATGTACTGGGCTAAATGATGCTCTCTACCCAGCACTGAGAAGGGTGTCGGGACCCCTGTCTCACACCTGATGCATTACTACCGATGACTGCTTCAGGAGACAGCTTCTCTTTTTTCCAAAGGTCATCTTACAGTCCATATATCAAGCATATCTGTATATATGTTGCCATCAACCTCTTACAAAACAGAAATTTTCTTTCTACTTGAGCCCTTAGGATCAGCTTTTTCCCCTCCCTCCCATCCCTCGTGATAACTTAATAAATTATTTTCTTATCTTACACCAACAGTCTCTCCCCTAACATTTCTGTTCATCCCCTGCAAGGGGACCAGGGGAGAAACAAGGTTCTGGTTACCTGCATAGTTTTGTTCCTGAACTCTAAACTGTGCACTCCAGAGGACATATCCTTGCTTCTGCCAAAATCTTTTTATTCTCATCACAATCCATTCATACATCCATTGTGTGTCAATCACATTTGTACATTTGTTGCCCACATCATTCTCAAAACATTTGCTTTCTACTTGAGCCCTTGGTATCAGCAGATTTTGTCCCCTCCCTGCCCTCAGGCACCCTTGATAACTTAAAAATTATTATTTTGTCATGTCTTACACTGTCCGACAGCAAAAATCTTAAAGACCAACTTTAAACGCCTCTGCAGCACTCAGACTTGTTATGTAGCAGACAAGCCATGCACATGCCTTCACGTGTGCATTTGTTTACCAGAGAGCAGCTGGGCGTGTGCGTGCAACCAGCACAGGGAGGTCTGGAAGGAGGCGTGTTGCCTTAGCCATCAAGGTGGTTCTATAACAAAAGCAGTTGCTCTTCTGTTCCAGGATTCGAACACCTCACTCTGGCTCCACACTTTGCTAAGGTCATCATAGGAGTGGGCTCAATTCTAAGTGAAAATGGACCCCGGGAAATCACCTACCAAAAGTATTGATGCTGAGCTGGTCAATGAAATCCCAGAACCGCTCGATCACATCCTGTACGCGTTTCTCACATTTGCCCTAAGGAAAGAACACAGGGAGCCCCGCCTGACTACAGTGCATTCGCAGCAGCACGGCTTTGTGGAAGAGGCTGTACGCAGAACAAACATTTATGCTCCGCCTTTGACACTGGGTCATCACTTAGACCAGGTGCCCAAGAAAGCAGGATGTACTGCCAGCAGCCCTTGTCCATTGACTTTGACACGCGTTTACCACGGCCATGAGACAAGCTCAAGGAAAACGGAGGAAAGGCAAAGCCGGTCCAGCAGGGACGCCCGAGGAGCCGTGGCTCACAAAGGGGCCTGCCAGAGGGAGGTCGGGTGCACCTGTTCCAGAACCTCAACCGGAACAGCGGCACTCCTGACCATGTGACGGCTGTGCTCGCAGCGAGAGTGGGCCCACTGCCCGAAACGGCCTTGCCAGGAGGACCTGCTGAGTCCGCCCGTCTTGGGCCCCGTGCCCTGCAGACAGCAGACCCAGCGCCTGCAGCGGGGGAGCCCTTCCCAGGGATGGCCTGCTCCTGCATACTCGCTTCAACAACAGACGGAGTGAGACACACATGGGAGCATTATCAGGTTTGCTTTCTCCCACCAGTAAAATCAAAGATTTATAACTTAAAAACGTGCAGCCAAGGCTGCACCATAATAAATAACTTACATTCATGTCACAAAAGCCCACCGTGCAGGGCTTCCCCTTCCGCAAGTAGAGGTTGTTCTGCTCCGCGTCCTCGTAGGGCACGCAGCGGCCAGAGGGGTCCCGGCAGCACACCTTGCACGAGTGGTCCGTTTCTAGGAAACAGAAGGTGTGTCGATAGTAAGGTCCTCCCCTCTGCCCCCAGAAGAGGAAGACGACATCACTCCCTGTTAATTCAGAAGCTGGCACTGGCTGCGTCTCTCCCTCTGGGACAGACCCCAGTTTATACCCTGAAGCTCTCAGAGCTGTGGGGCCAGTTAGCCACACGCCAGAAACACTCCTTTCTTTTTAGAAATTGGAAGCTTCTCTTAAAAGCCAAATGATCAATACTTCAAATCCTGCATAATGCTTTTCCGAAAGGTGGCACACGACTGATCTAAACCCTGGGCTTCTCAGTGGGAAAAGCTGGTGCCCAGTAGAAGCGGATGCCATTGTGACAGTACCCAGTGCAGAGCTGAGGGACTGACTGCCCAGGAGCTGGAACTTCAGATTCTCCATCAAGACCAGCCTCGGGCAGCACTTGGAGACCCAAACAGAACAGCTGGGCATTCAAGGAGCCATTTGGGCATACAGGTCATTGGTCACAATGCCCAAATCTACTGGCAGTGTGGTGCAGGGGCAGGAGGAACCACGTGATCCAAGAGAAGGTTGTGTCACACCAATTTGGGAGCATGAGAAATGAGCTAGGACACACACACGTGGGACAATGTGTGGTGGCAAAGGCTGTGTCGGCTTGTCTGCAGTTGTTGAATGTAAAACTAGTGATCTGCTCTATAAACTGTCACCCAATTCACAACAATAAAGAAAAAGTCTGTGGAAAAACTCCATGACCTTTCAATTCCATTTCCAATTAACTTTTAGAAGCCATGTATAAACAGGGAGAAAGACTGAGCGCTTTACTGCTGTAAGAGTTACAGCCTCAGAAACACCAGGAGGCAGCTCTAGTCTGTCCTACGAGGTCATGGACTCAATGGCTTTGAGTGTGGTTTTCATGTGGAGACATATATAAGCTTCCTTAGTTTTGCTGCTCGAAAGAACCAAGCCTTAGACACATCTTTAATAAAAGAAAAACAAAATTGTTGCAGCAGAAGAAGAGTGAGCATGATGGTGGGACAGGCGGAAGGTAAGAGGAAACAGAGGAAAGACCTAGGAAACAAAGCTATGGATAGAAGTATAAACATAAGTGTGTCCATATGTAAACACATGAATTCATAAAAATAGAGGTACTGACCTAGGTACATATATTTATACGGCAACACATCAAGGAAGTGGATGGCTTTGGGGCCTCTGCTCAAGCCCTTCCTCAACACAACCTGGCATTCTGTGATGCTCACCTTCCCAACACGATCGATAAAGACAAAATGGGGTGCACAAGTAAATGTGAAGAAAGCTGATGGTGCCCAGCTATCAAAAGATACAGTGTCTGAGGTCTTAAAGACTTGAAGTTAAACAAGCAGCCATCTTGCTCAGAAGCAACAAGCCCACATGGGAGAAACACACAACACCACGAAGTGTTGATGGAATCAGGCAACAGGCACCAGAAGACCAAAAAAAAAAAACCACACTGTTGAGAACGAGGGGAGTTGGAGCAGAGAACCCAAGCCCGTCTGTAGACATGGAACATCCCCTCCCAGAAGGGTCACAAGGGAGGGATGAATCAACAAGGGTGCAATATAGCACTGATGAGACACACACTGATCCTCTGGTACTTTCAGGCGTCCTCACCCCCCACTATCATGACCCCAGTCCTGCCGTTCAGTTCTGGCTAGACCGGAGCATGTACACGGGTACTGATAGGATAAGCCCTGCAGCAACAGAAATGGGAGTAGCGATACTGGGAGAGGAGGGGAGGAGGAAGAACCAATCACAATAATCGACGCCTAACCCTCCCCCCCCCTTCCAGGGGACAACAGAAACCGTGGAGGAAGAGAGACCGTGGTTGGTGTACGATATGAAAAATAACGTAACATTTATCAAGGGGTCACAAGGTTGGGAGGAGAGAAGGAAGGAAAAATGAGGGTCTTATACCAATGGCTCAAATAGTAAAAGTTTAGAAAATGATGATGGCAACAAATGTACAAATATGCTTGATACAATTGATGTACAGAATTTTGTAACAGTCCCCAATAAAATGATTTTATTGGGGCTCTTACAAATCTTATGACAATACATTACACAATTGTACACTTGTACACATGTTGCCATTAACATTTCCAAAACATTTTCTTTCTACTTGAGCCCCAATAAAACAATCTTTAAAAAAATTCTGTTGCCAGCGTTCCGTCTTCTGAAATAGGCACTGGTATGTACTCTGCAGGAAGCCCATGCCTCTTGCTGCTCAGCGGGTCACGCAGGTACGTCATCACATAGATGCTCATCTCCGTTTACTGTTTTTGTACAGTTGCTGAGAGGCTGAGCTCTGGTTACCTGGGACGCTGCGTGGTTGCGGTGGAAAGCTCAGGATTTTGCCAGTTCCGACTGTTCCCTGAGCCCACCTCAGACCCAAAGCCAAACATCAACGGCACTGTTAGGAAATCTGAGGACCTCAGGACCCTCAAAGGGAGTGGAAACAAAGACACTGTCTAAGAGGGCAGCTGGGTGCTTTCAAGCTGAGACCACAGGGGAGAAGCCGACCCTGCTGGTAAAGAAGGAAGTCTTTCATCCGCTTGCAGAGGGTCGAGGGTCGGGAGGAGCAGAGCCAGTCGGTGCAGGGCAGCAACGATGAAACACAACTTTCCTCTAGTTCCCAAATGCTTCCTCCCCGCCGCCACTATCATGATCCAAATTCTACCTTACAAATCCGGCTAGACCAGAGCATGTACACTGGTACAGATGGGAACTGGAAACAGGAAATCCAGGGCAAGTGATCCCTTCAGGACCAGTGGTGATACCGGGAGGGTAGAGGGAAGGTGGGGTAGAAAGGGGGAACCGATTACAAGATCTACATAGAACCTCCTCCCTGGGGGATGGACAACAGAAAAGTGAGTGAAGGGAGACGCCAGACAGTGTAAGCTATGACAAAATAATAATTTATAAATTATCAAGGGTTCAGGAAGGAGGGGGAGCGGGGACAGAGGGGACAAAATGAACTGATACCAAGGGCTCAAGTAGAAAGCAAATGTTTTGAGAATGATGAGGGCACAAATGTGCTTGACATACAATGGACGTATGTCCGGATTGTGATAGGAGCTGTGTGCGGGCAGATGCCAGAATCGAATCGGCTTGTTGGCTGAATCCCTGCAGGAGCATCACTGTTCACAGCCAGCGGGACACCGCAGCTACGGCTGCTTTCCAGGGTTGACCAGGTGGAGAGGGGACGACACAGGCTCCCACCCACAGCAGCCTGCCTTCCTACCCTACCCCTCCCAGTTCCCTTTCAGACGCAGGGGCTGGCAGGAGCGGAATCCAGAGCCGGCTGTGCCCACACACTATCCTGACCTTGGTGTTCGGGGTCTGGACCAGCAGCCAGCTGCAGTGCTGGGCAGGGAGTGGCATGTTCTCCGGACGGGGGAGAGGGCTCACGGGCTCACCGTTACACGCGCAGGACTCCAGCTGCTGCTCCCGCTCACAGAAGGGCACGCACTGGCCGTCTTTGCACCTCCCGAGATCTAAGCACACCGTGTCGTCGTCGGCGTTCCCAGGAGGGGGGCACTCGCTGCTGTTACCTGGAAGCGCACACGGCATGCTGAGTGGCACGCCCTCCAGGAGGAGAGGGCACAGGCACTGCTCACAGAAGTGACAGCCTCCACATCAGCCAGAAGGCTCACCACCTCCATCAGCCGGCCGGCCCTGCCCTCCTACATGCCCCACGCGTCCCTCCATCTCCACTTCCACCTTGCTACTGGCAGAGGGAACCCTGGGAGCAGGCACGGGTTAAGCATCGCAGTAGGGTCACAAGTTCAAGCCCACCAGAGCGGCAGTGAGCTGGAACCGACCTCACAGAGGGAGTGTGGTTTTATCAATGAAACAATGTACCTGTACTTGAACAATGTTGAACTCTGTGCTCCTCCCTGTCCTCAGCTGTCAAGCGAGGGGGGGCAGGCACTGCACAGACCACAAGGCACAGCCAGGCCCTGTCACACTGCCCACCTCGCTGGTGGCTGACAAGGCAGCTACAGACAGGGCACAAGCACTGAGCATGAAGTCTGTCATTTCCAGGTGATGCAGGCTCACCGCGCTGCCTCTCATCACAGTGGCAGACAAAGCGCATCTTCAGCATGCAGCTACAGGAGGAAGAAGTCAGACGGACTGGCCTAGTTTGCCAGCCTGCATGCCCAATAGTTAGTTCATTCGCATGTTTTGACCTATCTGACCTTCAGAGAGATGGACACAGCAGGTTTTCCTCTGTGGATTCTGCACTCGACACTGTGTCTGGGATGCATCCCTGGGCGTGAGAGGACGTCCAGTCCGGTTCCCCTAAGCCCCAGCCTCTCAGACAGCACGCTTTCTTCTGCATCCAAGCGGAATCGCTCGTTTCGGACGTTTCTATTCCACATCCAATGGCCACTTTGTCCTCCTCTTCCCTGACTTTTCGCAGCATGGAACACCGTGCCCCTCCCTGTGAGGGGAACCACTCCCTCAGGCCCTGGGACAACTGCCCAGATTGCCTCCCGGTCACCTCTGCAGAGGCCCTCCTCCTGCCCCCACTCTCAAAGTGCTGTAGCTCCCAGACAGCTCGCTCAGGGCCTTCTCGATTCTTCTGGTGTCCTGGTCATCTCATCCACTCCTCCCACCTGCTGACCAGCTCCACGTCACAGCAGCCACGCAACCTCAGCTCCAGCTCCACACCCACCAGGAGCTGCCACTGCGACCGAGATGCCACAGGCAGCTCCGCCGAGACCCAGCTCAATCTCACCCCCTATCTTCCACCGCAGCTCTGAACTGGGGCCCTCCCAGTCCCCGTCTCCCCCAAGCCCATGTCTGAACTGTGTGTAAGCCTTCATCTCTACCCCAAAATGCCCTTGTGTCGGGTCCATCCACTCCCGTTCACAGTCATTGCTATGAGCGAACCCTTCAACGGCAATCGCTCCTTCAATAATCTCCACACTTACCCACATACCTTGTTCACTTCCCCACACACACTTGGCACAAGTCTGGACCCCCTGTTGGAATCCTTAAATAGCACCCTGATGCACCTGGAATAAAACGCAGCTCCTCATGAAAGCGTGGAAATGCGGTCTGGCCTGGCCTCTCTCTCCTCCGTCACCTCGCAGGCTCTGACAGCCACCAGGGTCTCCTCTCCGTTTCTGGACTGCTCTCAGGCCTCCCGCACCTCAGGAAGCGGACGCACGCAGTTCCCTCCACGTGGACTTCTCCGGTTCCCATCCTCCGATGGCCAGTGCTGGGCCCTTCAGAGGCTGCATCAGGGACCTTCTCTTCTGACGTATCCTGAGCGCTGTAGTCATGTGCTCCTCACCGCATCACGACCTACTGCACACAGCGTGCTCCTTATGCAGAGGTAGCTCGCTATCTCTTTCATCAGCTACAGTTATTTTTGGCTAGACTGCTACGCTCCCACAGAGCTTAACAATCAACCTGTCATCCAGCCCCAGTCACACTGTAGGCGCCTCACCGCCATTTTCTGCACCGATGAGAAATCCTTAGTGACAGGAAAGGCTATTACACTGCGGACAGTGAAGGGGAGTGTTCAGAGCGGCAAATCTGTTCCGAAGGTGTTTTTGAAACCCAGGTGGAATATACTCAAGGCTGTATTTTAGCTCTCATTTTTTTAAATAAAACTTATTTTAATTTTCTTCAGCTTTATTTTGAACTTGCATATGAGTAATTGGTGGCTTGGTTTTAGCTGCTGATAACTGAGCTTCTCCATTGTCTCTTCCCACAGGTGTGGTCCGTCTGATTTCTGTGTTCCATCTGGAGAAGTCCGTATGTAGTCGGCGTTTGTGTTGCTGGAAAAAGGTATTTGCAATGACAAGCTGTTAAGTCTCGCCAAATTCTGTCCCGCCATCTCCAGCCTTGTTTCTATCACCACGTCCGTAATTTGCAACTACTGTCCTTCCTAGTTGTTTCCGACTGTTGAGTTCTAATCACCAAAAATTATCAATGCATGAGTGCATGTTTGATCGATGTCAAATTGAAGATAACGGCAGAATTCAATTTCTTCATCACTACGATTAGTGGTTGGTGCACACATTTTAGTGATAGTTGTATTACACTTCCTTGAATGCAGACGGATATAACCCTATTACAGACAGCACTGTACCTAGATGGACCTAGAGCTGTCCTCTTTGACGAGGAATATGAACCATTCTTCTGGACTGTCTCTCCCAGCACAGTCAACCACTTTCTGATTCAAAATGCCAGTCCCAGTCTAGTTCGGCTCGCTCACTCCAAGTTCTCATGGGCGGTAGACTGTTGCACCTGTTGCTCCTCACGTGAGCGGTGACCCATCAGCAGATGCAGGTCTCAGAGGCTCATCCCCACAAGCTTTACTCACACGCACACCATCACACCGCACTGCACACCGTCACACCGCACTGCACACACCGCCACACCGCACTGCACACACGTCACACTGCACTGCACACCGTCACACCGCACTTCGCACACCGCACTGCACACACCGTCACACCGCACTTCACACACCGTCACACCGCACTGCACACACCGTCACACCGCACTGCACACACCGTCACACCGCACTGCACACACCGTCACACCGCACTGCACACACTGTCACACCGCACTGCACACACCGTCACACCGCACTGCACACACCGTCACACTGCACTTCACAGTTACATTGCACTTCACACACCGTCACACTGCACTTCACACACCGTTATGGTCGACTCGACTTTGAGAAGGCAGCTCTTCCTCTGACCCGAGGGACTCATCTGCTGGCACTGTCTCTGACAGTGCTCTGCTTAATTCACTCAGCGTCCGCTATCGACAGGGTTTGGGTGCTGGTTTGAGGTTCTCCAGAAGGTTGTCAGTGGCTGAGCTGATTGCTCAGAAGTGGGCAGCCTGTTCCTTCTTCCTAAACCGTCCAGTCTGGATGCTCTGAAGAAACCTGTTCACTGTGGGTGGCCCTGCTGGTTTTCGAAATACCAGTGACATAGCTTCCAGCCAGCATCACAGCAACACACACTGCAGTATGACAAACTGAGTCATATGCTGGAATTCTTACGGTGGAATATAATTTTGGTACATTAAAAAAACAAGTAAGATTCCCTTTCAAGGACATACACATACCAGGACAAATATTCAAACATATTATAATGGACTTCTAAGAGGAAAAGAACAGAAGTGATATGAAATGACTGAATGAAAATAAAACTGAAAGGAAATAAAATGAAGCGCTCCTGCACAGACCAATGGCAACGGTGTGGCCGAGACTGAAAGTATGGTGACCCCACCTGTGCCCGAGGCTGCCTAAGGGCTGCTGCTTTTACGGGAACAGACGGAAACTTATTTTGCAGACACGCACACCGGAGCACCCGTGACAATACACACCTGTGCAGTAAGACACGCCTTTGCAGGTAGCATTAATAGCCTCTTGGCACTTCTTCTGGGCAGCCTCGAACTGGCAGTTCTTACAGCAGGGGCTGTTCCTGTCACTGCAGAGGAGAGCACACGGGACAGATGGACTCAAAAGACAGCCCACGACCAACACTCAGGTCACGGTCCAGTGACCTAAGATCACAGAGGAGGATCTGGAAAGGCCATTGAGGACACAGGGGTCCAGACTGGCCATCGCTAAGTGTCTGGGTACCTATCCTGGGCTTCCACTGGTTTAATACAGGAAGATGTTAGAAAGACATAGATCTGTAAGACAGTCGATGGTTAAATAGTCTACCTACTTCCCATCTCTGTTAACACGCATTATATAGAGTTCCACCCTAACTGTTCATCGCCAACCAGAGTTTCCCTCTTCTACATCTAAGGCAGTCACTGGTCTATAATTGACTTAACGATGTAAATATAGAGATTTTTAACCTGTTTCCTCCTGCTTTAGCCTAGGTCATGAAATGGTTTGCTAGAGCACTAATCTATTGTAAGGACTCACAGTAACTCATTCATAAACTTCCAAGGCAGTCGGTCACCTTGTGTATTTCTGACCTTTTGCTATTATAAAAGAATGAGGCAATGGATGCCCTTGTTAATTCACCCTCTTTGCACATCTGCGTCCTTTAAGAAGATGCTTTGACTGGTGGGACGGCTGAATCAATCAAACACTGCACATTGATTCCGGAGTATGTGCCGAAACACCCCCAGCTCCTGTTCGCAAATGCAGAGGAGCACAGCCAGCCGCACACGCCCCCTCTGCCTGGCCCCAGAGCCCCACCTTCTCACTCTGCGGGTCGGCCCTGCAGCGGTATTGCTTACCTGCACTGAACACCTGGTTTCAAGGTACAGTTGTTGTTGCAACAAGTGTCGTTGTTCAGGTACATGATGCCAGGGTCACATTCCTCCCCTTCGTCCACCCTGGAGTTCCCACACACTTTGTTGCTGCGCTCTTGAAAACACTCCTGGGCCTTACTTTCAATGGTCTTAAAGATTGACTGCTTACTGCAGTTTGAAAACATCTTAAAGAAAAAAAGGGGGGGCCACAGAGGCCCCAAAATAATAAACATCCACGCCCGCATGTTTACTCTTCTGCGCTAGGGACACACTCCCAATGGCAAGAATCCCAAGCGAGGGCCTGGCTGCACCTCCCAAGGGCGGGGTCACCCCCCTGGGAGAACACATGGTGGTGGCTGCTACCGAGCAACCTGGGGCACAGCACTGCCCAGGCTGCGCCCTGCTCCCACCTGCTGGGTTGGAGGCCGCCCATTCAGCCACCCTTTCAGCCGCGGTTCTGCCTCTTTGCTCAGTCCCTCCCAGTGACACGTCCAAGTGAGTTTGCTTAAAGGCCTAAAATTCTCCACATGAATGTAAACTATAGAAACACTAATACCCCACACCCCAGCCAATCCCATCAAGAGGCACGCAGTCCGGCCGGACGGAACTCGGCATCTGTGGCCTTCCAGGCTCATGCTGGGGTCACAGTGAGAGGTCCCACTGGCCCTCCCCGCTCTACACAGAACAGTTCTGCACACTGACCACAGCTTGTTGCTGGCTTCCTCCCCTCACACTGCTATGAGCATCCTTGCAGAACGCTATGAAACATCTGAGCTTATCAGGCATCATCAGAACAAAAAATCAAATCATTGGGAATGAGGGTGAGTGCAGAGTGAGGACCCAAGACCCATCTGTAGGCAACTGGACATCTGCTTACAGAAGGGTTGCAGGGAGGAGACGAGCCAGTCAGCATGCAGTGTAGCAATGAGGAAACACAACTTTCCTCTAGTCCCTAAATGCTTCCTCCCCGCCCCCCACTATCATGACCCCAATTCTATCTTAGAAATCTGGCTAGACCAGAGGATGTGCACTGGTACAGACAGGAAAGGGAATCCAGGACAGACCCCTTCAGGACCAGTGCTGAGTGGCGATACCAGGAGGGTGGGGGGAAGGTGGGGTGGAAAGGGAGAACCGATTACAAGGATCTACATAGAACCTCCTCCCTGGGGGATGGACAACAGAAAAGCAGGTGAAGGGAGTGGGTTAAGATATGACAAAATAATAATAATTTATAAATTATCAAGGGTTCGTGAGGGAGCGGGGAGCAGGGAGGGAGAAGAAATAAATGAGCTGATACCAAGGCTCAAGCAGAAAG